AAGAGAGTTCAAGACTATGTGTACGAGAACATCTTCCGATATCTCAATCTTAAGTGTCTTGAGCCTAGAAACAATATAGGACATTTCCATAATATACTCCCTTATATTTCCTTTTCCTGAATACCTTTTGGAAGTGAAGTCTTTTAACAACATGCTTATTTCCGCCTTATCGCTTTTAACAAAACATTTCTCAATTTCAGAAAGGAAATCCTTGGCATTAGTAACCTCATCGGATACAGCACCCCTAAAAGATTCTGGAATGCCACGCTTTATGAACATAAGACTTAAGCGATTCGAGCGATCCCACTTCTCATAGTACCTTTTTTCATCTTGGGTACTAGCATCCGTAAGAGAAGCGGGTTGCTCTACCCTTATTGCTAAGTCAAGATCCATGCAGCCCAAAGTTATTAGAATATTGTCTTTCCATTCCTTAAAATTAGTACCATTTAGGATAGGGATGGAGTTGAGATTGGCAGATATGCTTGAAAAATTAACTGTAGAAAGAACAAGACAATAAACATATATTTTAGTGAAATTGTAAAATGATATTTAACCCATCACAAGATACCAAATGCACCATTAGTATTTCATCTTTGGACAATAATACTAATTGCTAGCGGTACTCTTGTTGTAATAATAAAATATAACAATATTACATATAAAAGAAAAATCCACCTTTGGGTTGACTTTTTCTTTTAAAGTGTAACTTTATAATTGTTATATTTATATTATTACCAAAATGTATATATGTGACTTGATAAAATATTAATCTTCCTTTGGGCCGATTAATATTTACTTGAACTATATACAAAGTATGTACTATGTTTAATATTTTATATGAGCAACTTTACACAATAGGATCACTTTGGTGACATATTGTTTCTATATACCCATTTAAATACTAAACTTCCTTTCATTTTACAATTCTCCTTCAAAAATATATATTACAACACTCCAAAAAATCAAGTGCGGCAAATAACTTCAAAAATTTGCACATGAACAACAACAATGGACGTTTCATTGACTTAATTCATAAAATTACTTAATTAATTGTAATGAAAGTAAATGTTTAAAAAAATCAAAACGTTGCATGATTAATTATTGTATTTCAACAATTCAATACAACTTGGCATAACTGTTTGGGGAAAAAAACGGCTGCCATATGAGTCGCCGGAACTTGGTGGAGAAAAAAAAAATCATTTACTCCAATCTGTAGCAATTGAGCAGCATGTAATCAGGTATGCTTGGATATTGATTTTAAAAACACAATTATCTTGAGAATTATATCAATGTTGTGGCATAAATGGTTGTCACATGACTAGAATAAATCCACTTTATAGAAGCTTGAATTGGAATTAAGCCACATATTAAAAAAAATCATATACATTAAACTTGATAAGGATTTAAATGGCAACAAAAACATATATGTATGCTAGTTATATGATGTCATATGCAAGTAAAGGAATTTAAAGCCTTGAACTATCAATATAAACTTGAGGCATGAATCGGTACGAATGAACAAGCAGCGGAAAGAAAACCGATTCATCTCAAATAAGCGTTTCTAGGCATGTGAAATAGTTCTTTTCTCAATAAACATGCTCAAGACTAAACAAGAAAACTTTCGAACATCAACTTTCAAAATCCAGACTATAGATTAGGCAATGAAATCGGATTCATAAAAAATTCCATGGATCTATAATGGTTGGCTCTGATACCAATTGATGGATATTTATACATATATCAACAAAACTCCATATGCGATATATATATATAAATATATAATAGCTAAATCCATATAAATCCATGAAATCAAATATGTATGAAATAAGATTAGAATATACCTTGAGAATTCATTTGCATTAACACTTTAAGAAGACCCAGGAATTCAACGCGATTGATCGGCTAACCTTCCAGTGCTATGTAATGTATATTTTGAGATATCCTAATCCTATAATAGATGGGATATATATAGGACTAGTTCAATATTGTAACGGTTGGCTCTTATTATTCCTAATAATAATTCCTTAATTATTGTTGCAATAATGATATTATTTAGAATAATTTATTATGCCATTTTCCGTTACAATATCTTTACTGTTATCTCTTAATTTACACGCACCGGGGGTCATAACCGTTGTATCACTTTAGTATAATATATTTAATTTGACCCGTCACCAAAAGAAATATATTATCCTGGTATCTATACTTTTATTATTTCATGAATGGCCACTGTATTATTTATCTGATGGTAAACACATTTTAATTAATTACATATTAGGCCCCTTTTATTGTTTTCCAACAAACATTGTTTGCAAATATTGTGCATGGGTACTTCGGGGGATATGGCACAGTGCAAAGGCACTTAAACTCGAGGCACCCCATGGAGGCGACAAAACTGAAGGGCAAGGGGACGCAAACACAAATATCGAGGTTTGGAAATGATCAATCCTTCGCTAATTTCTCTTACAATGATGAGGTACATTTAAAAGCTATGTCTGAGTTAGTTGTCAAAGAAAATTTGCCTTTTATTTTTTCTGAAAGTCTTGCTTTACGTGCTTATGCTCAAGGTTCTTTAAATCCACAATTTTGAAACTATAGCGGCAAAACAATTAAAAAAAAGTTATTAAACAATATCTTTTGGAAAAGGAAAAATTAATTCATTTTTTTGCAAACTTTAATGGGTGTGTGACTGTTTGTAGTGATATATGGGAAGATACTATCATCACTTGTATTATTTGGGTGTTACTCGCACATTGGATTGATGATGATTGACAAATGCATAAACGTGTTATCGCTTTTCGAGATTTTAATGAAAGACACACGAGTGATAATATCTATATTCTCATGGAAAGTATTTTAGTTGAATGTTCTTTGATTGATAAGGTGTTTGATATCGGCTTTAATAATGCTACTAACAATACTGCTGATATACCAATATTGCGTGAATTATGTGATCTGTCTACCTTGATGGGTAGATTTTTGCATAGCGTTGTGCATGTCACATTATTAATTTATGTGTGAAAGACGGCTTAGCTGCATTAGGAAATGTGATGGAGAAGGTTAAGGATGTTGTTAGAATGATTTGGGCTAGTAAACCACTTAAAATGTAATGTCGTGCTTATTTGAAGTCGAAAGGTGTAAGATATTGTGATTTTCCTAAAGATCTTTCTATTCGTGGGAACAATACATATAATTTAATTCTTGTGCTTCTTAGATTTAAGATCATTTTCCTACTTTCATGAAAGAAACTTGTAATTATATTATAGAACCGGTTGAGATCAACACAATGCAAAAAAGTTGCAACGTTTTAGTTTATCTTAACAACGCTACTCAAACTTTTTCCCATGTGTATAAACCAATTATTAACCAATTTTTTATAGAAGCTGTTAATCTCGCCGTTGCTTTTCAAGAATTTTCTCAAGCTGTTTATGTACATTATTTTGTGATTTCATGAAAGAAAAGTTTTTAAAATATTATGTCTACATTCCGCATATTTATTCTATTGCTTTCTGTTTTGATCCTCATTTCAAACTTTTGCATTATAAAACATTTTTAGAATACTATTATACTGCTTTCTACGGTCCATTCCTTATGTACGAAGACACACCTATAGATCTTGAAGCCCAATTCAACGAGGTTAGTAATCTATTTCACGCTTTATTTAATGAGTTTCATACACAATATACAGGGGCGGACCTAAAAAATTCATCTTGCAGGGGCCATAGTTTAAACAAAAAAATTCTAAGCCCTTGACAAAGAAAAATAGCATATATATATATATATATATATATATATGCTATTTTTCTTTGAAGGGGCTGTGGCCATCCGGCCTGGGTCTCTACTACGGTCCGCCCCTGACAATATGGTAATGCACCCCCTCCTTCATTACCGAGTGCTTCCTCATCTAAAGGAAGGGGTTTTTCTAAATCAACAATATCTACTCTTTTGAAAAAAAGTAAATCAACTCATGTCGTTGCACAAAGCTCGATTAACGAGCTCTCTTTATATCTAACGCTTCATGTTGGGTATAATGAAGCAGGGGACTTTGATATTCTCCAATGGTGGAAGAAACACGAAGGAATGTTTCCGATATTATAAAAAATGATCAAACAAGTGTTGTCGATGCCGGTTTTAACTGGTGCCGTGGAACAAGAGTTTAGCCAAGCCTATAACATTTTAACTAACTATAGAACGACGTTGAGCGATTCATCTCTCGAGACACTCGTTTGCTTCCATGATTGGTTGAAGGCCGATCGTAGAACACAAGAAGTCAATATAGCACTGGACCGCCATTTCATGGAGGAAATGACAACCGACGCCGGAAGCGGCTCCGACGATTAGTTCAAGTATTGTAATTTTCAACTTTAAAGTATTCTTCTCAATTGTAATTTTCAAATGTGATATCAATACAAGTGACAATGTAGTGTTTATAATAAATATACACCATTTTTTATTCTCCAATAATTAAAAAAGATAAGGACCGGACTGGGATCGGGACCGGACGAGTAGACCGGACCGGGACCGGACCGGAACCGGGTCTGTAGAAACCCAAGTCGGTTCTGGTCCTCCATATCCAAAACCGGGACTGGCCGGTCCGGGACCGGGTCTGAGTCCATCCCTAAAGGGAACTCTCGTATCTGTACTCTCACATTCTACTAGGTCTAAGACTCTAAGGACGTTTGAGTTTCTTCTATTTGAAATTTGAATCATTCGGTACACGAAATTTTGCATCACTAAAAAATGGACACTAAAAAATGTTTTCCTCTTAAAATATTGGACACGCAGGATCGGCAGGGAAATATTATTAAACATTAAAATATAAAGACCTGTATAAAGTATAAACAAAATATTCTAAATTTTCAAAGTTTTGACATATAAGTTGATATTTCATGCCACATTTAAGAAAAATCATATCATAAACCTTTAGATCCGGCAAGTCCTAATAATTCAATTACGTAGTATTGCAAGTTCTGGGCCAAACAAATACACGCTCATCAATGCCGATTCGCCTCAAATTGCCCAAATTTAGAAAGGAACATATAGATGATGAAATGAACACAATCAATCAAATATCTAGACTGAAGAACTTGAATATATATTACAGATTATAGTTTTTGTTTTTACACAAGAGACTACTATTTACAGCGTCTCAAACATTGAGTACATGGTGCCTTTGATTCTTTGAGGATATATTCGGAGTAATTACTAAAATTACTCCATTCTTATTGACTATGGCAAAACGAAATACTTCCTATCTATTAAAAAAACTGAGCAATAGCCTTCCTATTCCAGGCAATGGACAACTATTACCAAAAACAATAATAATAAAAACTTCTTTTGGGTGAAACATTATGTTGCTCATATATAATTCCCTATTTAAAGATCCAACCAAACCTTCACTCTGTTGATTGCTGACTACTCTGCTCTTCCATTTTCCTCTTCTTTCTCTTCCGAAAAAGATAGTCTTCTGTGCCCAAAACATATGACACCTACACAAACCGGGTTTACCCGAATTCGTTAGAAATGTGGATTTTCCCCTTCTTAAGTGTAGATTATGTTAGTAATTAAGTAATTAACTTATTTTTTGGGTTTATTACCTTCAATGTTTTGCAAGATATCTTGCATTCAAGACCATTGATTACTTGAAGTTCATCCATTGCCTTAGTTTTAAAAGAAGTTGCATCTTCATTTCCAAACTTCCGCTTATATCTGTAAGTAAGAAATAAACGTGAACACTGGACAGATCATATGCATAGAGTTCAAATATCTATTTGTAAGTTAGACTAGGCAGTACCTATTCAGGAAGAATTTGGGCTTTTCAGGATCAGATGAGAGGAAACCACAATGATAAGAAGCAAAGTTTTGTTCGATAGCACCACCGGCTACTTCATGCTTATCATACTCAGGGTCTATCAGCTGGATGGAAATACGGGTAGGAGCAGATAACTGCAACAAATTTCAGATCATTTGTATGGAGAAGTGTATTCTATATGTTATTCATCATCATCCACATCATCTTAATCCAACAATGTTGGACCCGGATAATGTAATTAAGAGTTAACTAAGGCTCTATTTGTTTACCGGACAATATTTTCCTCATTAGTGTATTCTGAGTTCATCACTATAAGGAAAATATATTCCTTAATTCGGAATGACCACCTTTTCTTTTTATGTAGTTTTGAAATCGGAAGACATTTTCATGAAACAGTTTATGGTTTCTATTATGTGCTCTAGCACAAAATATATACATGCTTGAAAATAACATTCTCCTAGAAAACATTTCCCTGAAAAATGTACTTTCCTCATCAGTGTATTATGACTTTATGGTGTTAGGAGCCAGAAAACTGTAACATTAACAAGCTCATCATGGAACATGATTAAAAGTCATGTTCCCATCTCAGCACTTCATGAAATCTTGTATGTTGGAGAGGTTTAAATATGTAGACCAAAAGGAGATTGAAAGAAGATGAGTCTTACACATTCTATTCTGTAGATGTTCTCGTTGGGAAACAGAATACGCGTATTTTCGTGATAAACAATATCACATGATGCGGCAGATTTTCTTGATTTTTCATACGTGTATAGCTGAAGCAGTTTGTTCTCCATCTCCTCGGTTGCAATTGTTTGAAGCTGCATACATTTTAACAAAAAAAATTATATGCTGTGGAAATGAAAAATCTTAAGATGAAAATTGAAAAATATTAGCCGGAGTGATCAAGTGAATTTGCCTGCTTGACTATTTTATATATCAGCTTATCTAAGGTGAAGAGAACATATGACTGAGATCCAACAATAGCTCGGCATTCGTCCTCAAATTTTGCATTGTCATATGAACCATCCAACAGACCCAAAACGGTATTCATAAATCTGCATCACATAGTTATGAAGACGAGCAAATCAACTCCATGCTGATAAAGAATTGTTAGCAAACATAATTTCAAAGACAACCTCATGGTCTCATTATAAGATGGTGATACATTAAGAGCCCGTTTGGTAACACTGAAATCGGTTGAATCGGCTGTTTCTGCTGATATTTATGAAGTTATGGCTGAAGTGGCTGTATTGGCTGATTCTGTTGGTTTATGAAAAAATTATATATAAAATATATTTTATTAATAAAATAAAGAAAAAATTATATTAAAAAATAGCTAAAATGATCATCTACAATAACTTCAGCCAATACAGCCAGAAAAGTAACACCAACCTTACTTTTTCTTATTATTACACAATTCAGCGCGCGAAATCAAAATTCACGTGTTTGGTGAAAAAGTTGGCTTATAAGACTGATAAGCCAAAAAACAGGCTCATCAAACGGGCTCTAAATAAGTTGAGCAACTTGGTTCATTTGATTTAATTTATGTCTAAGTTTGAATAAAAATGTCTAAACAAACATTATATAAGAAGAATTTGCAAATTCCAATACTCCTCCACCTTACTAGTTTTCATTATATTTAGTATACGTTTTTTGAAAAAGTGTCTCAGCACTACAGCAAGTAAAGCATGTTATATATATTTGAGCCAGCATATAAATTTAAAAATGTACCTCAAATTGATGTTTCCAATAGTTGTGCCTTACTTTTATTTGAACTTACAGTTTTGTACCTTACTAAAACTAAAAGTTGTGTCTTGGTGGGCATGACTCTTTTTGTGAGGAGCAGAGGGGTTGTATACTTGTACTTTATTACGAAGACAATTGAAAAGTGTCACCGTGATCTGGTCACACTGAAGCTTTGGACTAACTTTCATAAAGTATAACTACTGTATAAACTGAACCTGGAAAATGGATCCGGGTTTCCATCACTTGATATTCTCCGTCTGTTTTCAGCCAATGAAGACTGTAATTTTGCCTTATGAATTCTTTCATACAATATCTGTCAAATTAATTAAAAGAAAGAAAAGGTTAGGGAAGAGTTACAGTACCTGCGGGAGTCCTGACTAATGAAAAACTAGTCTAACCTGGTATAGTCTGAACAGCACATAGAAAGAATCATTTCCATAAAAGATTTGTGAGCCCTCTTCATGCAATCCCAAAGGGAGGATTTTTGTTGCAAGAGGCTTGGCTGTCTGTACTCCATGTTCTAGAGAGGGTGATATGTCATTATCCCTTCCTTCCACTTCACCTTCACTCTCACCCTTGTTCTCATTCACATTACTATGATTTCTTTGATTGGGGTTTTCATGAGAGCGATTTTGGTTTTCACTCCCACTGTTTCGTGATGACCTCTGAGCATTTCCATTCCCACCTTCCGCCTCTCCAATTTGCTGTTTCCTTTCATATGGGTTATTTGAGAGTTCCTCTCCAGTATTGTTGTCTTCATCGACATTTGGTGACAATTCACCCTCCTCTCTCTCAAGTTTGAAGTTTTCATCATCTTCAAAAGCTTTCTTAATTTGAACACTGCTTCCCTTGGTGTTTAAAAAACATTCTTCCTATAGCCCCAACAAAGATAAACAACTTTAAGAGAATGGTGCAACTATGCAAGAAATGATTACCTAAGGATGTCATTTGGTAAAGCTTTTCTTTTCCGTTTTTGTTTTCCCTTTTTGAAAAGACATACTATAAAATATGTTTGGCTGTTTGGCAATAATGCTTTAGTATTTAGTTTCAGAAACAAAAACTGAACTTGAAAAATATTTGAGTTATTGTTTCCATGGTTTACAAAAGCATGTTTCCAGTTTTGCTATTGTTTATTAACGTTATGAATATTTATACAAAAATAGTTATTATAAATAAATAATACTCCTTCCTTCCCAAAAAAGGATTCAAGTTTGAGTAAGATACGACTTTTTATTTCAGGTCAGCTTAATAAATGCAGTAATGCACTAATGCTAATGCACAACCTTAACAAGTCATGAATGGTACTTGTACCACTTAAATTTAATTATAAGTGAGTTGTTTTACATAATATGATATGAACTAGTTTATAAAATAGAGCTGCTTGCCACCTAGCTTTACATAAGTTTTACATAAAATAATACGAAGTAGAGTAGTTTATTTTTAAAGCGGGACTTTTGGGGGGACAAGTATATACATGAAACATGACTCTTTTATGGGATGGGGGGATAAGTCGCATATGTACAAAACAAATCTGCCAAATATTTTATATGTTACAAATTTGAAAACAAAACAAAAGGAAAAAATATTAAAACATTAGAATACAAAACAGAAAACACAAACCATGAAACATCACCAAACAAACCCTAAATTTTCAAGTAAACAGAAAATGTGACCATACCTTTACTTGTTTGATAAGACCAGATGTTGCATTCACTGTACTGGCACCGATGGATGAAATTTGTACTGAGGCAGGCTCATTCTCACCAACATCATGAGAAGCTTCTTGTGTTACGATATCAAAGCCACTACCATCTAAGTGAGCTATGGATGAGCTTGAGAATTCGGCCGGAGGATCTTCATCCCCATTTCCACCATTCTTCAGCTGTCTTGAGGTAATATCAGTCCCACTACCTGTATTACAGTCCTTTCCCTCATCTTCACCTTGAGAGCAAGGAGGAAGACCAAGCATTGGTTCTACGAGAGTTACCCAAACCTTCATAATTTTATGAAGCTGTTCGGTGATGCATACTTCCTCACATGAGTGTTTAATGAGCCGGAACAGATCTTGGTGGATGGCAGAATCAGCAAATGTGAATTCCATATGGGGACTAATTGGCAATCTATTGCCAGTAGCAATAGATAACAGCACATAATCCTCTTCACATTTTTTGTCACTGATTTCTTTGACTTCGGCCAGCAAGGCTGTGTGGATAGAAAAATGATAAGCCATATTAGGTTAAGCAAGAACGAGCGTCAAGTCGCAAATCATTGAAATGATACATCTTTTTGGATGTTCAGAAACTATGAATGAAATATTTAGTAAAAACAATTATAGTATTGTTTCAAAAAAATGCTCAGGTAGAGTTTGACATTTTGACATAACATTCTAGTTTCTTGTCAGTACTAAACGACTGATATTAAATTGATAAAAGTAATAATTACCCCCCCCCCCCCCCCCCCCCAAGAAAAGCTGGAAAACGGAAAAGGTAACAAATGGCATTTTTGGAAGGTTTTGAAGAACTCTTCTTAAATTTGACCATAAATGGAAACTAATATATAGAGCAGAAGAAGAGAGAAAGCAGTCCATGTGAATTTCAGCATTTCATATCTGTGCAGACAATTAGGGTATTTGAAAATTGTTGAGAGCAGTTTAGGAAGTTGATGTAATTGGAAGGATTTTTCCACTGAGTTAGCAACTTAGACCTAAACTGTTGACTATGAGAGTGAGGAAACATATAAGGAAGAGGATATATGCCATGGAAGTATGGAACCAATGATCAACAATATTTTTTAAAGGAGAAACAAAAGAAGGAACACTAGCCCAATCATAACCTAACATTTTTGGGTTGAATTCTTCTAAAAATAAATTAAGTTGGAATGTTTCCATTTTTGCAGTATGTAAATAGTCATAGAAAGAAGGGTAAAAAATCACCATAAACAGCATTCAAGCACCTAAATGAACTAGGAAACACATTCAAAGCCTTGGCAAATAAAAAGGAAAATCTTCATATTCTGATGTTTCTATGACATTAATTTCTGATAATTACCAATTATGTTTTTTGGTTTGGGTTTACCTTTAGTACTCAAGTTCTTCGAGTCCTGCTGCTTGAAATAAAAGCTGCGATGATCCAGTGATTTGTGATGGTTCTTGGCATAAATTTCAGCCCAAACTTTATCAAAATCAGAACGACAGTGTTCCCACTCTGCTAGTTTCTGCTTCAAGCGGGATAGAATGACTGGCAATGCAAGATGGGTACTCCTCCTTAACACATCGATGACATCAAGTCCATGATCACCGTACAGTCGTTCAATGCATCTTAGGTTAAGGGCTAAAGAAAAATGACAGAGAGATTAAGGATTATGGAATACATCTTATAACGCACAAATTGAAGAATCATATTTGTATACCCTTACCTGTAAAATATTCTTCAATACGAAAAGCATTGTCAAGATTTATCGTATTATCATTTATCTTGTCTAGCACTTCTTCTACACGTTTTGTCGTCACTTTCACCGACTCTAATAGCATATCCAGTTCATACCTGGCATTCACCAAAAAACCAATGGTTATGATGGAAACTAATGAAAATAAATATATGCATTTATGAAAATGTTGATGAGGGAAAATATTGTTCTCTACTTTATGCATACGTCTGAATAAAGGCTTATATGAATTTCTCTCTCGTCTGAATTGAAATCATCACCTCTCGTCCATTTCAACTTATAGAGGCTGACTTAATTCCAACTTGCAAAATTTAAGTTATTAGCATATTTAGTTACAAGTCTATAACAGTTTTTTATTAAATGACATGAACAGGATAGAAAGTGTTCTAATGCTAGTCCTCTTACCTAGAAGGGGGGGGGGGGGGGGGGGGTGTAGTGTTCAAGTGGCATAAGCCCAAGATAGTAAGACTCCATATCATAAATCTTGGGATTAATTCTCAACCTATCAGTTCAAGTGTTCAACTGTTATGTTTTTTCAACTCAATAGACGATAAAAAACAGCCTATACGAAGAAGTGTAGCCAATATCATTATATTAAATATTAAGCAGCCCATGTATAGCGTATTTGCATGGCATCTAGTCTAACCAATAGAAGGCTAAGTTAAGTGGGGAAGAAATTAATCAGTAAGAACGCTTCATTTTATCTCATGCTTTTGAATGGATTATAAGAACAAAAATAATATGTGGTTAAATTTTAAATTTTGCGCTCAACAGTTGGCTAACTTTTATAGATAGTTGTGCAAATTGTTCATATTGTTAAAGTCAAAAAAGGGAAAATTAGAAAAATAGTGGTATAGTGAACTCAAAAAAAAAAGGAAGTGCACATAGTTGTGGAACAAACCAAAAAGAAAAGTAAAAATGGGATGGAGTACAAAACTATCTGCATAAGGACCCAATTGATATCAAACCTGTCATCTTCGCATCGAAACAAGCTCTCTTCGTACTGGTTTTTCCGCATATGTTTGAAAGAGTAATCTTCACTTCCAGAAGTTACAGACACCCAATGATCATTCAATACTTGAGCACCTAACTCTGTTCTCTGACTTGCTATCAGAATTGGATACTGAATTAAGTGAAGACCATATCACATAAGCACAGAGTTTTGTCAGAGGATAAATTTGGGAATTAAATAAAATCTTAAACATGCAAATGCTTACATTTTCTGGAAGGAGCCGATAACTTGGAGTGCAATGCTCACAGTTAGAGAGGTCAAGTTCATGTATTGGACATTCCATATACTTGTCCTTGCTCAAAAAAGGTATCTTCCGCCCTTGTAAATCTCTACTTCCAATAGCAACACCTCTGTCATGTCTCTCCTGTTCCCTGGTATCACAATCCTTATTTCTGTCTTCCCATGGGCGGTCTCGATATCTATCCCTCTCAGGTTTCACAGGTTTATGAACTTTCCCATCATTCCATAGGGATCCTGCAAATTGAAATTCAAAAAATATTAAAAATACAGTCGATTAAACAATGAAATAAATTATATACTGCCACAAACCCCTGAGCCCTAAAAGAATTAAAAATAAACTATGCCCTTCAGATATGTTTTTAAGACATCCATTTCTCATATGTGATTATTAAATGTTTAGTAAAGCATAATATGACAGACATACTTTTTTCCAGAATAGCACTATGATAGTATGTGCATGAGAAACTAAACAGGAAATTTTAGTTCATCTTGCAGCACTCAAAGTTCCAAACTCAATCATAACAGTAACACGCCACACATAGAAAGTTGTCAGTGGACTTCCTTAAGACATCATTTATGACTAAATCTCAGATGTAAATTGTTAGAGAGACAAGATTAAATTGCTTCCTGTTTATTACTTTGCCTTTCCTCAGGCCTTTTGTTATAAAATTACATATTCAGTATAACAATTGAAACACTTCATAAATGTTCCTTATGGTATATTAACCAGGAAAAACAATGAAACAGTGCATATCAAAATCATCAGAAACTTGCCCACCTTGATGGAAATTATCTGTTACTAAATTCCTATCTGTCCTTTTCTCATCTTGTTCTTTGTCTATTTTTTCTTTTTCCATAAGTCTGTATCGCTCTTTGTCAACTCTAAGCATTGCTTTCTCATGTTCTGGGTCAGATCGATCCTCACTAAGGTCATAATCGGCATGTGAAGCAATGACCTTCTGGAAAAAGCCAACAAAAGCAATGGTTACTACCCAAACATGTCGTGCTACAAAATTGCTGCTGGGAAGAAAAAAACCTTTTCATCATTTAAGGGTCTTCCCCGTGTCAAGGGAGAGATTTTATCATCCCACTGCAAAGCAAGTGTTTTATTGGAGTGATAATGAATGCGGGTGGCTGCAGAAGTGTCAGGTAGAAAATGGGTGAACTCCTCAAGCAAGTCAGGGTGTTCATGCAAAAGAGAGGCAACCTACCAAAAACAAGGAATTAATTCACTAGTTACAGATAAAGCATAATATTAAAAGATCATTTATATTTTCATATTAATAATATAAAAAAATTATGGAGAGCATACCCTATCGTAAACCTCTGAGATAGACTTACTTTCTTTTCTATACATATTCAAAATGTCCAGAAAAGATTTATATACATAACCATCACCTTGAAATCTAGTCTGCAAGAAGGGGAGGAAAAATAAGACTATAGAGCATTGTTCCAAACAAAGAGCAAAATTTGAAAGCAGAACTGAATGATGAATACCTTTATCTTGTTAACAAAAGTAATTGCTTCATCAAACTCAACAGGTTTTTTCACAGGGGGCGGTTCGTCCTCTGGCAGAAGAGTGATTTCGTATCCCTTCGGCAAAAAGGTATTGAAACCCAAAATTAGGTCTCTATGCCCTCTAAATAGATCTTTCACCCTTGCTATGACACCAGATGTGTCAATTCTGTGAAAATTGACAACCATGATAACAAAATCAATCAATATCAAGAGCTTCACCCAAGCTGTTAGCAGAACTTAGGAAGCAAATGTTAGATTATTCTCAAATTAAACTAAATGTATGGAAAATCTGCTCAATCTCAAATTGTGTATTGTCTCAGTTTCTAGAGAGGTTGTTCTAATTGCTAAGGTCTAGAACCTATAACCTTGAGCCATCTCATATAAAGATTAATAAGTAATATACACAGATTCCATTTAGTCCCAGTGAGTTCCAAATCACCTATGAACTATTCAGCTTCACTATCCAAATTTAGAAAGAATATAAAAAACAAAAAGAATCAACCTTTGAGCCTTGAAATCTTTCATGGCTTCAAGAAACTCGTCATATTTCTCTCTTTTGTCTTGAAAGATGTCTTTCACGGCCTTGAGGTATGCAAGGGCATCAACCGTTGTTAGCTTCTGTGCATTGCTTCCACTCATCATTTGGGGCTGTCCAGACCTTCAGCATACAAAAACAAAACCAACATAACAAATAAATGCAGCATCAATGGCAGCATTTTCTTAAAACAAACCAACACTTAAAAGTAAACCGTACTGGGTGAGACACGAGGAAAACATTTTGTTTTTCAAACAAATTGTATCTTTAATGGTTTATACAGATATCTCACAAATAGCTCGAAAGCATTAGTGATACTGCATAACATGCAAAACAGTAAAATTACTAAAAAAACGTTCAGCTTTCATCACACCAATGAAGTACCTGACGAATAGCTTTGAAGAATTAAATATAACTTCCTCCAGTAAAGCTCATTCAGGGGTTCAACAATTTTCGATTCAAAAAATGATAATCAGCGATTAATCTCACTGAAAGAAAAAACATTTTCGAATCTCACATGAATTGTCACAATTCACTAAAGAAAAAATGCATAGAACAGACAAGACTTACCCTTCAGCATGGGAAGAAGAGCTGATTGGACGCCTGCTATTAGGACTCCTATGCAATTCATCTCCAGACCTCTTCATGGTCCTCCGTCAATCAGTTCTTTTAACCTCCACGCAACTGTGCTTTAATTCACCCCTAGCACTGCAATTAGCCAATAATCAAAATCCAGAAGAAAAAAATCAATTCACGAATACAAACAGTTCCCCATTCCCCTCAAACGGATATGGATCTAACAACCCGCACAAAACAAACATAACCAACGTAATTGGCTCTAATCCTAACATTTATGCAGATCACCGTAGAAACCCCTTACAAAATCCTTCAACCATATAAAATTCACTGAATTGCGTTACTAGTAATTTGAGGAAAGCAAAACAGAAACAATGGCGCAGAAAAGAAGCGAAATTTACAACGCGATCCTCCAGCGGAGCAAAACGCTTTAGAATTCCCAATTGATGAAGTGTGCTTTCGAGCAGCTACGACTAGATAATATATATTTAAGTTTATGGAGCCCAGAATGTATTCATATGCATGAATTTGGAGTCTATTTATTGATTTTAATATTTCTTTTCACATATCAACAAAGAAAATTGCTGCATTTTTGTTTATGTCATGAACTCTATGAAGCACAAATACAAATAGAGAGAGAGAATGCGTATATGCATGTGTGATTGTTTTGGTAGCGGTGGATTCATATATCAGAAAGATGGAAACCGGAAGCAGCCGGTAACTTGAACCCTACGTGTAAGTAATTTGGGCGCGGTTGTTATTTGGCGGAGATCGGAAGGGTACGATTATAAATTCATACATACTTGAGATTTATTAGCAATAAACTGATAATAATAAAATGCAACTAACGCAATAATATGAGTCTACTAGCAATAATGAGGTTATGGTGTTACTTAATTCATCTTGTTTGGTAATAAAGTATGAGTCTAGCATTTATTAGTATAATTTTGCTAAGAATTTAGGGTCACACGAGTTAATAAATCACATAAGAAGAAGAGTTTATTGATGTTAAAAGTTCAAAATATATAGAAAATTCTCGGAAATAGAAGCATAAAGATGTTTTAAAATTCCAAATAAGAATATCATGTTTTATTTTCTAAATAAGAGTAATAATTGTGACAAGCACCTTGTGACACTCTCAAGAAAGAGGTCACATGTTCCAAACTCATCTCGGTCAAGCATGTTGACATTTAACACAACAAATATTATAATGTGTGAGAAAAGTGTGTCCCAAAAAATAAGAGCAATAATGGTCAAACTTAGAAAATATTGTCACATTTAAAATCTAAAGGCTGATGATACCAAAACAAGACAATAATGACTCCTATTTAGCTTAGATATTGTGAATGTTTTTATTGAATTGAATTATTCTAGTATTATTTGGTCTGATCTGGTCTGATTTTTTGTCTACTCAAATGTAAATGTATGTTCTATGTGTATTCTACAACCGTGGAATCATGTCTGGTCTGGTTTGTGTTTGAAACTAGTCCAATTAAATAATCCTAAAAACTTAATAATACTATTTCAAATCCATAAACATTTTTATTTCAATTTAGAACAATTTCTTTTTAATAAATGTACTCCATATTTATAAGATATGCATCGTTTTAGTTATGAATATGTATATTTTTTATGTCTCTTATAATTTTGTCATCATTGCTTTTTAAATTGTCATATATTTTGTTATTTCGCACGCAAATTAAATTTGGCAAAGTTGTAAAGAAGAATAAAATAGTTTAGTTATGCAGTACTAATTTATAACAATATTCATATCTAAAATTGGAATATATATGTTTGAATGTTACTAACTTAGAGAAGGACCTTGTGGTAGTTGATGACTTGGCGGGCCACGTTTATCCCTACGTAAATTTTTCTTTCCCGGTTGTTTCTAGAGATTTTATTGACATTATCCGTTCTTAGTTGATTTTTTGGCTTCTTGCAAGGCGTGAGCTAGGATGTCATCTTTAAATTTATAATTTTTAAATTAAGAGTAGGTACCAAAGTGCCCCCTTGTTTTCACCCCTATATGAAATCACAAAGTTGTTTCATTTGGATTTTTGAACCTTTTACGAAAAATGTTGTCATTTCATTTACAGAATGACATAATAATTGGGAAAAATAATCTACACCATAAAATTTAATAAAGTGAATTAGAAAATAAATATATCTCTTCCGATCACATGTGCGTATATATGCATGTTTTCTTCAATTTTATGAAAGTAAATTACTACGAAATGTAAACCAAGAGTATAATTTAGTCTATAATAAAAGAAAACTAAAGCAGTTTTATTTTTGAAAGTTATGTAATTAATTCCTGCTTTTCATTCAATAAAATATTGTTTGGTGATATAACTCAAGAAACAAATAAAAAAATGTAGACAAGTGTGTATTCTATATTTATATTTTTCTAGGAAAGTATTTTTTTAAATTTTTTATACTTTTTTAGGAAAGTAGTTTTTGAATAAGGAACATTTTAATATATTTTTCATATTTAAAATAATTTCTAATTAAAAATTCCTTGCTCAAAGATGGGCATTATTGACCAATTTTGAAAAGTCAATTTGCCAAACTTTGTTGAGACAGAGGGATTATCATGATATTGTTGCGCATAGAATCTTGGTCAACGGGATTTCATTATTTAAATAATGGTCATGATTTTCAATTTGATGGCGCACAATTTTCCAATTATGATTCCAAGTGTTCATGTAAAGTTTGGAAGGGAAATTTACGATCTTGTGATTGGGTATATTGTTATTAGAAAGTGTAACTAGGTGATATAAGACTTTGTTGGTGTGTGCACGTTTTGAATATTGCCACTTCGGAAGGTCATGAAATGTATTTACAAAATTCTCAGTGGAGAAAGTTTTGGGTAAGTCTCGCATTAAGCACGTGACGAATGAAGTTGGGACATGAGCGTGGAGATTGGATAAACTTCATTTAGGCCATACTTGATGACTAATGAGTCTTGTTTTATCTTGTATTTTTTCTTTAAGTAGACTAAATAAGAATCGATAAAATTTCCACACATAAATGGAACATTTAATTTAAAAAGGGCATTTGATAAAATCATCAACAATTGATGTATTGAAAATAAAATGTGCAGTGAGTACAAACAATGCAACACAATCATAATGTGCATAATACTATATTCTAAGTACTTGATAAGCTAATAATTGTCATGTTATTTCTCATAACCTAGCTATCCAAATTATCAAAGTTGTAGAAAACATGATGATCGATCTTAGATATAACTCCTTGTAAGTATTGTGTAGGCAAACTAGTCATCCCCTAGAAGATTACCATCAACATAGTACTCATTGAGGCTACATTTGTTGGTGAGTTTATTGGTCACATGAATTTTGTTCAGCTTTCATGGCTAGAAATCATGGGTGGAACAAAATCATGGTAGGTCTAATGGGGGGACAAGGGGCAAGTAGTGGTTAATTTCATATTGAGAAGTGAAACAATGTCAATGGGGACAATGGGAAAGAAAACAATCATGTTGAGTGTAGGAAAGAGAAAAGGCAGAGGGTAAAGAGAACTGTGAAGACGAAAAGGGTGAGCTTTTGGGGTGGAAGTAGTCACGACTCAGACAAAAAACAAGTTTAACGTGTTTTGTGTTGGACACTCTCACTTATAGAATTAATTTACTGGAGCACAGGGAATGCACCACGCCTAGTGTTTTGAAGAGAGCTTCTATAGGCAAATGAAAATGAGAAATTTGTAACTAGTTGGATTGTCTTGTGTTTATATGGGTGAGAGTGTGCTAGTAATTAAAAATGTTACACATTATTGTCAAAAATGAGTGGAACTGCTGGGATGCATTGTTGAACATGATAGAGAGTTTGAATTCACTTTTTTTATCTGTACCCAATAAAGAAATGAGGCATATGCGAGATCGAGTTGTTCAAGGTGTTTGTGAATGTTCACCTTTTAAATTAGTGTTTATATCATCCTGACTTTTTGTGTTTTCAATTTGTCTAGACCCTAGACAATCAAATATTGCATTGCTACCTATAATAGGGAGTCTTATAATTCTTCCTCTGCTAGTCGAAAGCACATTTATATTTGTACTCCAAAGGTCTTTTGTCGTCCTTTACAATCCACTACAACATTGAATTAATATAGATTTTCCATCTTGACACTTGTGAAATATTCATATATGTTTACAGAAAAAATGTTATTGTAATACCTAATATGGGATTTAAACAAAAATATTCTTATATGTACTGTTTAAGTGTTTTATTAATCTTTTCTATCCACTCAACTTGGTGCAAGATTTAAAAAAAATTAACCAATATAGGGTATACTGGAAAGTCTAATACACTAATGAAACTTTGATATTTGTGTATATTATGCATCCTACTTTTGGACCTTACTTCATGTTGAGGGTGACAAAAATAAAAAAGAAAACACTAAATCATGGGATGCAAGGTTAATATTAGGATACTATATAGTCTATATATGAATTTAACATTTTCTAAATAATAGATTCATTGAGTCATAATAAATTTCTTTTTTCAGATAAAATATCATATTTTTATGTAATAGTTTTGTAGGAAAGATTTACTGTTTTACCATGTGACTTCTGGTTGTTCTAACTTTTAGTTTCATAAGTCTACTCACTTACATATTTGATCATGTCATAATAAGTTGATCAATATCAATACGGAAGGTGCGGTCTAGAGAGAGGAGCGGAGGGGGAAACTCTAGCCACCTCATACTCTTCTTTTCTTCTCTTCCTTCAATTCTTTTGGCTTCAATTAAAAAAACGGATTCGTTTAATCACTATTTTCAGTTCTATCTAGAAATTTATTTCCTAGCGTTGTCTAAAGATGTTATTTTCGGTGGCGAATTATCGTTTGTCAGATGTATATTCCCTGCCATCACCAGACGGATGTCTTGTGTGCTAGTAATAGATTTGTAGCAGCTTCTACATCAATCATGAATCTGGAATTCTTCTGCATCAATATTGAGGGCGATCTAGGAAGATGAGATTGCATGGATTGTTTTCTTTCCGGTGGCTGGTGAAACCGAAACAAATTTTGTACTTGACTCCTTACCGGTGGCTGGCAAAACCGAGAAATTCAATGGTTTCTTTTTTGTGGCTGGTCAAACCGGATCCATTTTGAGTAGCATGAACAGTCATATTGTGGTACTAGTCTACATCGTTGCGGGGTTAGCAAACAAGAGCGCCTTTATAGGCCTTTTTGTTCTCTGTCTCTCCCTAGCTAGTGTAGCTTTGAACAGTATGGTTGTAATGTTTCGGCTTTTGATTGTTATGTTTCTGGAAAAAGTTGATCAATATCAAGGACTTTTCCAACGGAGGACATGTTTTCCTACAAAAACTAGATAAGAAATTCATCATCAACGTCAGGTTTTCTGTCGAACATAGTACATTTTGGTGAAAAAATATTTAATATGGACACATTAATTATAACATTAATAATGTATGTGTGTAAAATTACAAGATAAAAAGTAGTTATGCATGTGCATAAGTTACAAAATTAAATTTAAAATTTTCTCAGTTCTGAAAAATATGTGTAACACGTTGTAGTAGCTAATAAGAAAAAATCCAAATTGAACCTTATTGATAGATTAATTATCTAGAGAGAAGGGAGAGCTAGAGAGATAAAGTGATATATATATAATGAATTTCCAACC